GGTAGAGTACGCCGGCTGAATTTGAATCTTGTTGTTCGACATCAATGTTGTCCACTTGAATGAGCGAAAATTCTCGGTTCTGAAAACCTAGCGTAAATCCTGCAACGGAGCTAGTTGCCAGTCAGCTATTATTTTTGATCATAGGCAGGCGTACAACTCACCCTGTATTCACCACTCGGACTCTGTACGCTGCGTCACCCTTCGCATCCAGGTATGAGACGTTCATATGTCGAAGGATACAGTCCACTGGCCGTGCAGGGACAGCCATAGAGCAATCAAAGTGACCCACTCCATTGATCAGTAGTGAATCTGGGACGGGCTGTCTGGGGTTAATCGTCGTACTCAATAAGACTATATGGCAAGACTAACTTCGTTCCCAAATGACCCGGCACGCATATACCAGGAATAGACCTGATCTGCCGATCGGTGATACCAATCCCCAACTAAGAGTAGAATGTCCTTATCATAGCTGCCAAGTTCCTGCTGATCTGCACGAGCCAACAGTCCCCGGACTGTTGACTTAGGAGAGGGTTCATGTACGATGAGCCCCCCATATAGGCCATCGGCCCTGAGAAGGCCAGAGTGAGCGTGGTACCAGAATGTGCCGCTTTGATCTGTGGGAATTGTGAAATTGTAGGTAAACGTAGACCCCGGAGGAATAGCGCGTTGTGTCACACCAACGGCTCCATCCATAGCATCTAAATGACTTGTTAGTCAAGCAGACCAGCCTATACCGAAGCACTTGACTTACTCTCAATATGTATTCCATGCCAATGGATGGAGATTGGTTCTTCCTCCAAAGAATTGGTAACGTTCACTATCAAGCGGTCACCAGATCGTGCTTCAACCGTCGGTCCAGGGAAAAGATCTATTTTATATATAAGTATGTGCCTTGACGTAAAAAGTGAATAAGGATTACCATTAATCAAATAAACCCTTTTCAGCACTCCATCCGGGCGTCGATGGTCGGCAGTCACTACCCAGTCATGATGTTGCGTTGAAGGATTGCGGTATATATGATCCTCCGGATGGAGCTCGATCAAAGGACGTGATACATCGGGCTCATGTACCGTTGGATGTATCTGGCTAGTCGAGACTCTCGATGGAATCAAGCGTTGTAGAGGGCTTGGCTGCGAAATTTGTGCCACGAATAGCAGAAGGATCAGGCCACATATAGTAGCCGGATACAATACAATACCCCATGGCAATCGTCGTAATCGAAACGACGGTGACTGCTGCGAGTCTAACAAAATACTCCCCTGTTCTTTCATCTTCTGACAGTCTGGTAGGTTGTTCTGCATTCTTCCACATCACCCATCAGACCCAGCATGCTTGTTCGATCCCCGTGTGTCTTTAAACCCGGACCATGACTATGAGCCATTTTGAATACATGTGGGTCCAGAAACAAAACAGTGGCTAAACTACAGAATAAATGTACCTGTCAGTATGAACAGATTGAGTAAGTGATGTTCAGGTCCGCCACTGACCGATGTTTTGAAACAAGATTCAACCAAGGTTCGGCCAAACAGGTGGCTTTTGTATGGACTGCCACCCTGCCTGCTGCCAGCTTTTCAAACTCAAATTGGACTCAAAGTTGGTTCCTGTTCAGTGGGCTCAGGTACAATGCCGATATCCAGGGCCATGGCGGTGTTGATATTAGCCGATAGAGAGACTGTTGCCATTGTGGATATATCAGAAAGGTCCACCGTGAAGACCGCCACCATTAAACCACCGCTGACTGATTATCGATAAAAAACTTAGTTGCTGAGAGCCCAGAGGGGGAGAGAGAAGGATGGGAAGCCAGAAGAATTGTTCCTGAGCAGAAAAACCAGTCGGACAGATTGCCGTTCGCTACACGTGCCCGGATACCGGCCAACCAGATCCCCTTCCATGGAGACTCATCTTCCGCTCAGTCCTCTGTCTCTTGATGGTATTATCGTAAGCAGATGTCATAAAACTTCTGAAACATCCATCTCCATCCAAAGTGGATCAGACTTTACCCACCATAGAGGACGATCGCTCTTCGTTTTAGGGCGGCCTAAATAATGGCTCGTCGAATCCGATCTGCAATAACAAACACTATCCCATGTTACGTCCCACTTTGGCAGATGTATTTACGACCCAGAGAGTTGGGATACTATGGATGCGTCGGGATTCATGGGTTATCAACTGTCCGGTGTTGCGGTCTTGTCTGGACCTAGACCATGCAAAGTCCCCACTTTCGCTCAAGTTTCTCGAGATATATAAAGCAGGTTGAAAGCACCTGAAGCCACACCATACAACACCCTCAAGAGTACTAGCCGCTTCAAAATGTTACTGCTTGGTTCTACTGCCTTGGTTTTGCTCCTCGGGAGCAGGTCCGTTTCCGCCGGGTCACTGAAGGACATCAAGCATGTTGTAATTTTCATGCAGGAGAATCGATCATGGAATAGTGTATGTCTACCTAAGCTCAGCAAACTTAGGCAAAACTAATGACTGTGTACAGTACTTTGGCACAATGGCAGGCGTCCGAGGATTCAACGACCCAAACGTGCAGGTCAATCCAGATGGATTACCTGTTTGGTACCAGTCAGTGTGCTTTCATACGTTTTCGAGGACCTGTGCTAATAAGAGTATTAGAAAAGTCGATCCTGACATGTCCAATGCTACAACAACCCTCCTCCCTTGGTATTTAGGTTATCAAGGAGGGAACACGACAGACGCGATCCAGTGCATGGCAGCGGGAGACAACGGTTACGAGGATAGCCATGCCTCGCTCAATGGAGGACTGAACAACCACTGGGCCCGCAATAACACCCCCTGGAGTTGGGGATATTTCAAGAGAGAAGATATCCCTGTTCATTATGCTATTGCCGAGGGTTGGACGACCGGCGATATGTATCAAGTATGTTCTGCTATCACACTGTCAAAGCTATGTCTAATACCCTACAGGAGTCCCAAGTAACCTCCACCAATCCGAATCGTGTTACTCTAGTGAGCGGCTCCGTCAATGTACCTGGTGGTCCTCAAAAACCTGATCAAGGCGGCGTATATATCGACAACAATGTAACACCTGGTACGTCTGCTCCGGCTACTCATACACTATATCATACGTTGGAACTTAGCTGACTGTTGACTTCTAGGGTGCGATAGCTATAATATCAACTGCTATCCCCTCAAGTGGAAAACAATTTTTGAAGTCTACGAAGACGCAGGCGTCTCATGGCAGGTCTACCAGGATAAAGACAACTTTGATGACAACCCCTTGGCCCGGTTTGAGCAGTACCAGAACGCTTCATCTTCCTCACCGCTTGTAGAGAAAGGCATGGCGTTTTTGGGATTGGAAACCTTCTATGAAGCGGCTGCCAACGGGACCCTCCCAGAGATCAGCTTTATTGTTGGACCTGCGGAATTGTCAGAGCACCCACCCTATATGCCCAAGGACGGTGCCTGGCTGCAGAAGAAGGTTGTGGATGCTGTGACGAGTAGCCCCAAATACGATTCTACGCTGCTCATGATAAGCTACGACGGTAAGCTACAACTGATCAGCCCCTTATCGAGCGAGTCTAACAATATGGTAGAATCTGGTGGTTACGGAGACCATGTCATTCCTTTCCACTCACCAGAAGGCACACCTGGTGAGTGGATGGAGGACCCTTATGGTGTATTTGGAAAACTATATGTTGGACCTGGTAAATCCCGCCATCAACCCATGTCATATTATTCATGCTGACTTTTTAGGCCTTCGAGTACCCTTCTATATGGTGTCTCCATGGACCCGTGGCAACCGCGTCTTCACTGAGAGGGCGGATCATAATTCTCAAATTCTGTTCTTGGAGAAGTGGCTTACGGCAAGGGGCTATGAGAATGTGCAGACGCCAGAAATGGTTCACTGGCGCCGGGAGCATATGTCCAACCTCGTCAATGCACTAGACCTAGACCATGTACGATAATCCCCCTCTATCCACCACATTGATATCGAGCTAATCTATAAAATAGCCTGACATCAGCCTCCCGAAATTGCCAAAGGCTGAAGAGCCTGAAGTGTCCTCGGGCTCTTACGTCGGCACATCAAACTGCGAAGCAACGTTCCCAGAGCCCCGTCCTCCTGTACCATATGGGAAGCAGAATGTGACAGACTCATTGTTTTTCGAGGACGGATACAAAGAGGTTGTCGGCTACCTGACTGAGGGACGGTATCTCGTTTTCGAGAAGTCTGGGTATGCGCTCACCAATACTGGAAACACAACCAGGTTAAGCAGCAGCGCAGCACGTTCGGACCACAGTGACAAGAAACAAAGATGGGTCATTCACTATTCCAGCGGCGAAGAGAGCCAGATATTCAAACTCTCCAGTGCACTGGACGGCAAGTGGCTTGGCCCACACGGAAGTCTGCTGCCCGCTGGTCGCCGGGGTGATGCTGCGGAAGTGAAGATTACCTTCCTGGGCAATGGTCACGGATATGGTCTGCAGTATGTTAACTCGACTGTCATCACACTGGACGGTCAAGGAGGCCTGCAAATGAACTCTACCAAGCACTCCCAAGATGGCTACAAGGTGTGGAGTGTCACCTACCACTAGGAAGTGGCTAAGGACTCGAGACCAGGCCGAAGGTTAAGAATTTTCCATGGCTGGAACTAGATTTCTGCTAGAGTAGCTGGTCTACTACCCCTGCTTACTTGCATAGCGACAATATAGACGATATAGACGTGCTGACACAAACACAAGAGGCTTACATGTAACTATACTCATCATTGGACGGATTAAACACTAGCTCAAGATGACCACTTGTAGTAGCGCGTAGCTTCTTCCGAATCCGACATGGATTGAGTCACAGACATCCCCGCAACGACAACAGATCGCAGTACATTTACTGCCTTCAAGAGTATCTCCACACAGAGTAAGAAAGAAATACTCAACTTATTGAGTAAATGATAATTAACTTGCTACAAAGACAAACCCTCCCAAATCAAGCCACAAGAACAGAAGACCCATCAAATCGAAGAGAGGACAGACACAGAATGTCTACCAGTATCCGACAAGCAACGCCCGACGACCAATCCATCATCGAGGCAATCATACAAGAAGCCTTCTCTATCTACATCGCTCGCATGGGAAGGAAGCCCCAGCCGATGCTAGACGACTACACTGCACTGATCAAAGACGGAGTCGTCTACGTGATCGAGCGAGACGGTGAAATAAAGGGCACCGTCATGCTTGTCCCCAAGGAGGGCTCCATGATCGTGGATAATCTAGCCGTTGCTCAGTCTGCACGGGGTACTGGGTTAGGTCGCAAGCTTTTAGAGTTCGCTGACGAGTCGGCTCGGTTGGCAGGCTATCACACCCTTCAGCTGCATACGAATGAGACGATGGTTGAGAATATAGCCATCTATACACGGATGGGCTATGCGGAGACACATCGTGCGGATAATAAGGGGTGGAAGCGAGTTTATATGGCGAAGAATTTGAATTGATGGCGTACTACCCTATCGATGGCTATATTTGTCAGTAAAGATAGTATGTTTAGATAGTATTATGAATGATGTAGATGGTGTATGAACTGGCTGAGAATCTTATCTATGACCGGTAATCTCTCATGTAGTAGCGCGTCCACTGTGAGTATTCACCATGGCTTTGAAAATGCGATCGAAATTGACAAAAGTGTCTTAGCAATATTGAAATATGGGATCATGAACATTATGAAGTGTGAGTTATCATTGGACCAAGATGACGAGATCACACTGGGCTTAGGCCGGCCTGCAGTAATGCCTGAAAAGACGGGCAGCCAGGAATACATTCCGGAGATGTGGCTTATTTCCCCCTCCTCGCCAACCCCTCTTTCTTTCCTTCATCTTTTCTCTCACTTTCCCACCGACACAATAAGAGTGAACGAAACCATGACAAGTGAAGCAAAGAATGCCCGTTGCGACTGCGTTTTCCAGTATGAAACTCATAGAGTGACCCTGTGCGACAAAATCTTATCCCGGCCTAATAACGGTGACAACAATTGAGGATTATCGATGGAGACACCACCATGTGGGCCTCTACCGTTGACCGTTTGTACGGAGTAAAGCAAACAACTGCTTCTTCCTGTGTCAAGATGGACCATCTATCTTCTAATCTAAGTGACACACTCAAGGCTTTTCCCCCAATGCGACTCAATGCAGTATGCCTGATCTACACCCAGATTGATGAAACGGTGCCAGTCTCTTCTACGGAATATAAGCACGGGCGTCTACATATGAAGTTCACGCCCATCATCCCGAGGTTGCGGTCAGGTTGCTTGCTGCTTATCTCCCCCCGGTGTGCGAGTGAATGACAACAACGTTTCGGTCCCCGGTCGCGACCCATACTTTGGTCCAAACAATGCCTCGGGATTGGTCCTAGTCGAGTAAAGGCCAGGAGGTGGGCAAACACCAGGTGTCGTGTGCCACCAGACTAGCTACAATATTCACCGTCCACATACGAGAGGTGTCCCCTTAGCAGCCTGCGTCTGTGGCGTTTCTAGCTGAGCATGGCTGAGGCAACATGGTACCTTTTTTGTTGAACGATTGAATCATAGCAGCAGACCCTGGATTATTGTGGGTTTGACGGGTGGAAACTGCCAAGTCACCTGAGACACACGTTGATTCCCCGTTCCTCAATGCTCCATCATTTTCCACCTTCGCGGCTCAACCTCTACGATCGTTCTTTTTTCTTCGACAAGCCACACCACACCGTCCTTCGCCACTCAGCCATCTGTCGTCAATTTTCGTCCGCCTTGGCCGTCACCACGTTTGTTGTTTATTCCTGGTGCGGTCTGAATTTGTTCAGCTTCCTTTTCATTGCGAAATTCTCAAGCTTTGCATCTTAAAAGATAGTGACGAACGGGATCGGATTCCGACCGTATTTTCCCTTTGCTGGACCGCTACTTATCTCTGTCCCCACTTGGTCGCATTTTTTCCTCCCCTGTGTGCCCCAAATCCATTATCCCCTCCAGTTCCGTTCGCAGTGTCAACTCCATCAATTCATCCACTATCCAGTTATCCTCTCAAAGACCACCTTGGGCCGTCCCTGAGCGTTCCAACTCCTGTGATCCGTTCTTCTCCCAGTGTACCCGCACGGACCTGGCATATAGTACGGAGGATCCCCAGCTCCAAATTCTCCGCCATTTTCCAGGTGCCGATTACGCCACGTCCAGTCGCAAAGTGATCTGCTTCCCGCACTTACGGCCTTGGATGGGTTACCAGATCACTCTATTTTCCAGTTCGACGTACTCTTCGCCATTGTCTGGACATGCCCTCAGTCACCGACCAGACCGGTCTTTCTGGCCTTGAATTTGATGGTAGGTTCCTTTCTTGGTTAACTTCCCGTCAACCCATTCCCCCTTTCCTTGGGCTCCCACAACCCCGTAGTCGTAGGTTCTCCGAGGCTCTGCTTCCGGGCCAAATGATCTCATAGCCCACTGCGACTGCTGGTATTCGATCTACCGTCCTAAACCCCTCCCTCTTGCGATCTTTTAACCTTCCCTGTCTGGACTATCCCCCTAAGTGTTGATGGATTCTGACCTGTCATCTAAAGGACCACAACCTATTTTGGGGACTGGTTTGAACGTCTCCCCCCAGAGGCATCACCACACAAATGGACACGAGTCTTCTGCAATTGGGTCAGAAGGGAATGCCTTCAGACATCGTGTGCCCGCACCCAAGAAATCGGCAGCCAGGTTGCCTACTCACCAGCCGGCTTCTCTAAGTAGTCAAACATCCAGCGTTATTACTGAGCCCGCGCATCGCCTTGAAAAAGATGGCATGTCGAAAAATGGCGAGGAAGACCCGCAGAATAGCCTTTTCGCACAAGTCTACGAATGGCTTCAGCGCGAAAAATCCAAACGAAGGTCTCACAAGGCGACAAACTTAGCAGCGATGGATGGTGTCGCCAGTGATGGTGACGACGATGACGATGACGGTGCTAGTGTCCTCGTGGAAAGACCTCTATCTTCGGGTGCCGACGCCGCAATGGCTCTCGACAAGCTGGAGAAGATTCTCATCCAGTACGCCACTTCCCGCCAGGGAACAGACTCTGTACATTTCGCTCGACGATCCGGTCGTCGGCGCCAATACTCCAAGGGGTTGCGGAGGGGTTCTGCGTCCGAGTCCGACTTTTCGGACCACGAGGCAGCCGCCCCTAGCGTGGATGCAGTGCTGGATAACTCAAAAACCCTCGCATATAGCGGTGGTGGTGGTACTGAAGATGACGACAATGAGAACAGTGTCAGTGCGAGACGCGCAAAGGATAAAGAAGCCTGGGCGCTGTTCAAGAGTGAAATTCTTCGTCTCACTCACACCATGCAGCTGAAAGGATGGCGAAAGCTTCCCATGGAACTTGCAGCTGATATCGGAGTCGTACGACTTAGTGGTGCCTTAACCAATGCCGTATATGTAGTTACACCGCCACAGAATATCCCCGTGCCCAAGGCCGAAGATGGATCATACTCACTGGTACCCAGAAAACCCCCACCGTAAGTGCCCCTATCTACATCACACACATCACCCAGAAGCTAACTCTCCGTAGGAAGCTACTGCTGCGTATCTACGGGCCACAAGTAGATCACTTGATTGACCGAGATAACGAGCTTCAAATCCTCCGCCGTTTAGGCCGAAAGAATATTGGCCCGAAGGTGTTGGGTATATTCAACAACGGGAGGTTTGAAGAGTACTTCGAAGCTCGCCCACTTACACCCAAGGAGCTCCGCGATCCTCCGACTATGAAACAAATCGCGAAGCGAATGAGGGAGCTGCACGATGGAATCGATCTCCTTGTAGATGAGAGGGAAGGAGGGCCCATGGTCTTCAACAACTGGGATAAGTGGGTAGACCGCTGCGAGCAAGTAATCAATTGGCTGGACAAGGAGATCCGATCTGAGCACAACAAGAGCAAAGCAGCATCCGAAGCGTGGCGTCGGCGAGGCTTTGTCTGCGGTGTTCCCTGGCCCTTCTTCAGAAAGGCAGTTGAAGGATATCGTAAGTGGCTTTTGTCCAGCTGTGGAGGCATGGAAGGAATAAAGCGACAGCTGGTGTTTGCGCACAATGATGTAGGTGATTTATTCCCATTTCTCAGGAACTGCGCTAATGATTTAGACTCAATATGGCAATCTGCTTCGGATGGAGCCCAGCCACGAATCACCGCTGCTTCGGCCTGAGAACGTGCATAAGCAGCTAGTTGTCATTGACTTCGAGTATGCGTCAGCCAACACTCCAGGAATTGAGTTTGCCAACCACTTCGTGAGTCAAGTGTTTTTCAATGATATAAAGTCCCTTACTGACCCCAATAGACTGAATGGTGTTACAACTATCATGATGCGGAGCGGCCGTGGGCATGCGACACCAGCCGCTATCCGAATCCAGAACAGCAGCATCAGTTCATTGAAGCCTATCTGAGCCATCGACCCGGATTGCGCGAGCAAGCCTCCCCTTCCATCACCCCGCTGATGCGAGGCCTCTCTACCAACACTTCATCACTAGCTCCGTTGAACCTGGATGACGGTCCGGATGTGGACGTGTCTTCTCGATTCGATATCGAGAAAGCGCACGAAGACAGCACCAGCGCTAAGATCCAGTTTTACGCGCGACAAACCAGGCTGTGGCGAGTACTCAACTCCGCGCAGTGGGTAGCCTGGGGCATCGTGCAGGCCAAGGTACCTGGCATGGAGGAGGGTATTGCAGCAGATGAAGCCGCAGCTAAAGCCCAAAACGGCCACCATGGTACCAATGGCAACGGTGTGCATTCAGACGTGACAGCCGAAGTGAACCACTCCACTGGAACTCCGCCAGTCGATGCTGATGTGGACGAAGCTGAAGAGTTCGACTACCTTGCCTATGCGCAGGACCGTGCAATGTTCTTCTGGTCCGATTTGCTGGCGCTGAAAATCATCCGGGAGGATGAGCTGCCCGAATCTCTGGTACAAGTGATCAAAGCTCGCATGATCGACTACTAAGCCTATTTTAATAATATCTTGCCTTTTACGATTATGAGTCGGATGACATGAATGACGAAGCGATTCTTCAACAGACGTCGGCCTTGCCACTGTACATAGATATGTCATAGTTATGAATCTCAACGGATTTACTAGGTAGAACCTTCATCTCCGGAGCTATGGAGACAGCGTAAGGATACTAGTAGGCATAATTTACCTCCTCATCAACTTCCTCTGCGTCTCCCCCTTCGCCTTCTCCACCCACTCCTCATACTTCCCCTCCCCCTGCTTCTCCTTCATCCCCACCACCCCCTTCAACACCTCCCCAATGAACCCCACAAAATTCGACCGTCTCAACGTATTCTCCCAAGCCCACGCCCTCCTCTTCCTCTCCTCCCTCTCCAACGCCTCCACATCCCCAATCTCCTTCGCCGTAACCCTCAAATCCCTCACCACAGCCATAAGATTAAACCTCGTCTCCCCCTCCGGATACCGCGCAATTCTCTGCCTCAACACCTCAATCACCTTCTCCGGGAACTCCTCCGCCGTACACCCCCCATGCGAAATCGGATGCGGCTGCAACCCATCCAACTCATACAACTTCCCATCAACAGGCGTGTACGCAATGAAATGGTATACATCCCCTTCCTCGTCCTGGTTATTCCGCACGGTCTCGTCGACGAATGGCGAGGCGCGCGCGAATGCGTTGTGTGCGCTCCGGATCAGTTCCGAGTTGGAGAGCGCTTCGCCGCGTAGGTCTGGTGGGAATCCTGCTGTGAAGTCCTTGAAGGAGTGGAGTTCCGGGCCGATGTTGATGGGGTAGGGGTTGCTGGAGGAGGAGGAGGATGAGGAGGAGTCGTTGTTCAGGATCACGGAGAGGATGGCTTGTGTGCCGCAGGCGTTTTGGATCGTTTGGTTCGCGAAGAAGAGGTTGGGGGATGGGTCGGTGTCGTAGGTGCCGGAGGGGGGTGAGGTCGTGGAGGATGTTGAGGTCGATGGTTGTTGCGTTTCGCGGGTCCATTTGAAGAGGAAGATTACGCCGTAGACGGGGCTGGGGTTGGGTGGGAGGAAGTGTTAGTGGGTGTGGTGGATGAAGGTGTTGGTGTTGGTGGAAGGTGGTATGGGGGTTACCTTAGTGAGCGGATTGTGTCTGCGTCTAGGGAAATCAGTTCTTCGAATTGGACGTCCTTGACGCCGAGGTTCTCGATGAGGGAGGTGAAGACGCCCTGATTGATGGTTTGCTTGTTAGGTTTGCTGGTAATGTATGCTGCGATGTGCTTGGTTGCGTACCTCGTCGGACTCGATTGTACTCCAGCCTCCGCCGTCGGCCATGATGTGTGTTATAGGATGGGATGTGCTGCGTAAGAAGGATTATATATAGTATATTGTGCAGCAGGGAGGAATATAGCGACGGGGTATGATGTCTATGCTGTACTGGTGGGCAGGATGTGATGTGATGTGATGGTGGATACCTTTGGAGCTGTTGTTTGGTGATGATGCAAACAGTACACATGTGCAAACATCCTCAGCCGAATCTAGACAACAGCCTTACATTTTGAGCCTGAATATTCAGGTGTCATTTACGTGCAAGAGCACTACTTTACTATTAGTAGAGTTGAATCGTCGATCTCATGCTCACTTGTCAACCATAACACTTGGCAGCTGAAATCCACGATGGGTTGTTCATACAAGCCAAGGAATATTATGGATCAGGCCTCCAAGGGTCTACTCAGCCTTGTCCACATTGCAGATCGACCCACGCTTATCCACCATCACCAATCGACATATGAACAGCGCAGCAGACTTCGTATATCTCCGTCTATCATTAACTCTAATGGGTGAACAATATAGCTGTTTTTAGCTCAGGCGTCAGGCGTCTGGAACATGTCTATTTTGGACTCACTCCGTTGGCTAACTAACTGGACGCCTTACGGGCCTAAATGTCGATCATCTAGTAAGTCTGTCTTCAGTTACAGCTACGAGGAGTCAGAAGACAATATATATTCTGCAGAAATGCCCCAGCAATATCTCACAGACTCACAGACAAGCAACGGAGATTATACAAGTCCATTTCCTCTCACATTCAATCCAAAGAATATCATCACCATGCAGCTTCTCTCCATCCTCCCCATCGCAGCTTTGGCTGGTACTTCCCTCGCAGTACACTGGAACGTGACCCTCTACACCGACACCGAGTGTACCGAATATAAGTGGTCATACGCCGGAAACCAGAGTTACGGGTGCTACTCGCTTGAAACATACAACCCAACCATTCAGTCTATCAGGGCTGAGATTCCCGACGATTGGGTTTTCGATGGAGCGAGCGGTGGTGCTTGCAATAACTTTCACACTTTCGGGGGCTCGGGATGCTGGACTCAGGGTCAAGGCTTCAAGTCTTTCCAAGTATACCCGCAGGCAAGCTGAGGTGATGGTGAGTGTATATTGATGAACTTGGTGGTTTTCATGTCACTGATTGTTGCTTCTCCAGATACCCGGTTTGGTGGAGAAAAAAAAATAAAGACTGGTTCGGCTATGAAGACATAACTATGCCAAATTTATATGCGGACCTTATTCATACTTCAGTTGTATCTACCTTTCATGTGCTCTGTACTAGATCTATACTAGTCATGAGCATTTGGTTTTCTATAGCAAAATCACGAGACCAGGTCTTTGTTGTACCTAGATGAGCTACAATGAAATCTCTTGCTCTCGCAGGATTCAAGCTTTTAGACTCGTTTGTCAAAGTTCTCAGGGACTTAATATAGCATGTGGATATTCGCTAGGTCATCCATACGAAGATGTAGGGTCGTTTTGGAAGGCAATAGTATATAGCAAAAGTCTCCAAATAGTATAGATTATACTCGGTTTGATTCAGGCTGTAGTTGTTCAAAGATGGGAACATTAACTTCCTTGCATGAATTGCTAATAGAGATCGCTTACCACATAACCACGTATATTTCCCAATCTACAGTTTTGACGGACAACTTCTCTTGAGTTCCCAAGAACAGGATTCATCAATATATCGTCGCCTTGTTATCATTGAATCACCTTTAATTATCCATACCAGTTTATCCGAGATATGTAATACTCATGCCAACTTCACCGACCTTGACTGCGATCCTACCTTCGAAAGCAGCCATCCACCATTCTGCAGTTTCTGGAACACCTCATCAGGGTCATACTTCGCAGCAATGCTCTTGAGCCTTGCTAAATTCTCAGAACCATAGCTGGATAGTGGATCTTGATCGCGAGACGCATAGTTTGAATACCGATATGGAAGATACGCGCCAGCCTGCTTTGCTGTCGCTTCGGCAACATCCACAATCTTGCGGACAGCTTCTCGGACGCGATCCTCGTCTTTCGCATGTTTCCAGTCGGCCATTGACAGACACCCTATATTGTCAGTTTCATGATCGAGCTATGGGAGGGGCAACATACATTGCTGGCCTACTGCTTCTAATCCAAGAGGCGTTCCGCCATTCTTCTGACTCTGTTTCATGGCCAAGGAAGACATGGGCTGGAATACGTTGGTCAGGACAAGGCCATCAACGTCACTCAAGGCCTCCTGTTGTTCTCGGCGGACCTTCTCTGTTGCTTCGTACAACTCTAAACACGGCCGACTGGACATGGTTCGGAACTCATGACTAAGGATCTGTTAGCATTCAACACACTTTGAAGTATTGTTTTAACCTACTGCAAAACCTCAGGTGAGATGACTGAGGCAACCGCCTGGACGAGCTCATAGATCGAGCGAGTGCCCGGCGGAACAAAATTCATCAAGAAAGCGATATCATAGAATGACTGGAATGCAGCAGGCTTCTCGACAGGGGCACAGTAGAAGAATACTAGAAGGATTGCCTGGCTGGTAGCATGCCAGACAAGAGATGCCTTGTTGTCGACTTCAATTGCTTCATGGTACTTCATGAGACCCTTGGCGAGCTCGGGGTAAGCCGTTGGAGGGTATACACGAGCTTCAGCCCAAGACTCGGTAGGCACTGTCACTAGGTCCATCTTGGTTACGATACCTTGGGGTTTTGTCAGTAATCAAACTATTATACTTCCGAGAAAAGGCTTACCGAAGTTAGGACCGCCTCCCTTGAGGGCCCAAAATAAGTCTGGATTTTCTTGCGCATTGGCATTGACAATGCTTGAGTCCGCGAGGACAACCTGTGATCTAATTAGCGAGGATTTGGAAGGAGTGCAGTACATGCAAGTCTACCTCATAATTAGTTACACCCATTGCACCCACTCCATACTGACTGTTTTGAAAGGAGATACCTCCTCCCAGGAGAAGACCAGGAACGCCGACAGTCGGAATCCGACCTCCTGCCACTGCAAGACCATAAGGATCGAGAGCCTTATAGACGTCAAGCCACCTCAGTCCAAGTCCTACATCAGCGGTAGACTTGTCTTCCGATAGCTTGACATGGTCGAATTTGCTAAGGGAGATGACTACTCCGCCATTATTGCTGGTGAACCCGGGGTTCTGTAGGTGACCACCACCGCGAACAGAGAAATTAATGTTGAAGAAACGACAGAGAGCAAGAGCAGTTGCAACTTCTTGTGCTGACGTTGCTGTGACCACAACTAATGGTTGGAGCCAGCAATTGATTGACCTGTGTAACAGAATCAGTCTGATTGCAAATGTGCTTCGAGGATGTGCAATTGTCATACCAGGGTACTTGACGTTGGGTATCATACCCATCCGATTCCCGGAAGATGGCATTTTCGCCGAAAAACAAAGGGAAAACTTGGGCAAGATAGGATGCCCGTACAGAGCCCTTTTCATCCTCCGAAAGTGCTGCATACTTGGACAGTACGTCCTCGATTGTTGGGGTTGTGGAAGTGTCAACGTTCGCCCCCTGAACGATCGCTGCAATGACTGCCGCACAGCTCATTATGGCTTGTGTGTGAGGCTGCAATGACAGGGTTGCTTACCAGATACCCCGGTCAATAAAGGAAAAGAAATGAGGATGTTCACGAAAAGGAGAAGCTACGAACGGTATCCACCGTGCTCATTAAATAGGACTCATTGGCAACGGACATGGAGCCGGCACGCGGAACAAAGCCCAGGATTTGCGGGGCTAGAACAGCCCTAGTCTGATAGTCACACACGCTATCCTACGCCAACCATTTACTTGCCTTTCGCGTTGTCCATTATAGTACAGGGATCTGATTCCTTCTCTATCAGAGATTTTCAACTTAATCCTGGTTAAATGCAATAACGGGGGACTTTTATCCTCGACATGCTCCCCCCTCTGGACTCGATATTTCTACCATGCCACACGAGCAATGACCGGTGTGGGACATTAGATTAATTGCAGGATGGACTGGACGGTCATACCACGAGATGGTGGTCTACCTACGATGACTACTACTGTCCGTATCATAGTCCTCGTCCTTGCTATCCCAACTACCCTGGTTTGCGGTCTCCGGGTATGTACCTGACGCCTGATAAGGATGAAAAGCACAACTCATGCAATGACATGTCTCATAGCTCTACCTACGGAAAACTGTTCTAAACTCATGGGGACTGGATGACTGGATGGTAATGGTCGCTCTTGTTAGTCACCCCAAATGCTCGAGCGATGTGAGACAAATTACTGAAGCAACAGCAGATCATGGTGAACGGATTCTCGGCGCTTGCATATACCATCACCTACTATGGTCTCGGAAAAAAGACCAAGGATGTTTCAGATGCGGACCTGCTGGTTTGGTGGAAGGTACGCTGAGATAACACACCCTCTATATTGGACAGCGGCTGAGGTCACAGGCAATACTTAGATCTACTATGCTGCGCTCTGCAGCTATTTGCTTGTTGCTGCATCGGTCAAGACAAGTTTAACTGTCTTTATAATGCGGCTGTTCCCCACCCGCAGCATTAGCATCGCTGGCAGATGCATATTGGGATTCCTAGCGGCCTTCACACTCGCAGGAGCTTTGGCTCTCGCATTCCAATGTCGACCCGTTCGTGCTGGATTCGACAAAACCATCCTTGATGCTAAATGCTACAGTGTTAACACTTCCTTTGCCATCCTCATGGCGCAAGGCGTTATCATGTTTGTGATGGACCTGACCATCCTCGCACTTCCGATCCGTCGCGTGTGGCAGCTTCAGATGCCGCTTGGACGAAGGGTCTTGGTACTTGGACTATTTTGTCTTGGTATGCGAAAGCCTCACCTGAACCAAATAGTAACTGACTGTTATGTCCGCTCAGGATTCACAGCGTGCATCGCGGCACTGGTTCGCTTCAGCACTTTGACCTATGCCAGGGACGAAACAGACTACACCTGTAAGTACAATGGTATCAGTGGTTTGATGAGGATATCCAGCTCGCTTACACATTATTACCAATAACAGACACGGCCGCTAATTCGCTCATCTGGATGGAACTTGAGTTCAACCTTGGTCTCATGTCCGGCTCCCTTTCGTCCCTGCGCAAACTCATTAAGCTTCGATCGCCTTTCGGACCGCGACAAACCTCCTCTTTCACGGGAAGCCGCTCCGCCAACGTCGAATTAGGGAGATATAAAGGCTGGGGTAGGGGTATAAGCAAGAAAACGGAAATCAACAGGGTTTTTGAGATCGTAGACAGCAGCCAGGAGCACATTGCCCCAATTTACGGTCAGCGTGAATTATCCACCACCACTAATGCGTTTTCCAATGGGAAGCTTAGCCGTTAGACTTTATCTTCGCACAGGATAGATATCTGTTAACTCTGTGCTATAATCAATCTCAAATGCAATTACCTTCGCTCACCCACGCAGCAGCGGTAGAAATGCACACGAACCGTTGCTGCTAAGGAGGAGGGGCCGCTGTCAAATAAGCACAGCTCCACTAATGCCACCGGCACAGACGCTAAATCGACCGGCCGTTAGACGGCGCGGTTTCATCATTCCGGCTGACTAGTCTCGACCTGCTTTCACTTTAACTATTGGACCGATTAGCAAGCTAAGTATTTGAGGAATTAACCTGATCAGGAGCAAAGAAGAGCGACAATGAACATCCGGGTTCCGGGCGATTTCCAATGACTCATCGACCACTGATGCCGAGGCCCATCGCATATTGTCGTATGATTGTCCGGTTTTGTACCAGTGTCCTTTGAGTCTAGTATGCCCTGCGAAATGTTTGCTGAAGACTGACTAAGTGATGCTAGTTGAACTTAGTATAATTCGCTTGTCTATTCATGTGGGCATCGTTACCAATGCTGTCTAAGGGGCTCACAGCCTGCATTGTTATAACGGGCAGTGCAGTGAAAGAGAGCACAGGCCAATTGGTGGACATAGCGGCCTGCCTTAAAATAGGTGATATGTTAGACATATAGGAATATGGGAGAATCTATCGTTTGCCTATGAGTTGTAGTCATAATTTGCATGGATTTGTGTAGCTCTCGTCGTCACGCTGATCAATAAAATAGTTTGAGACGCCCCTTAACATGCCACGTGATCACCAGCACGCGCTGTGCTTGGACCCCTTTGATGATCTTCTTGTTTGAGAACCATTGATATCACGTCTGCCTTGGAACTTCTCAAGAGAAAACCCGTGTAATGAACACTATAAGAACATCCATTCCTCGCTTACCTGCATTTCTCCGCAAGAAGCCATTTCCAGTGCCTTCTCCAGGACCGCCTTTACCGCCCGGCATACTCGTCGATGAAGAGATCTCGCCAGGATACAATTCCAAGCATTTCTACCCAGCGAAGCCTGGAGAGGTTCTCGCGGATCGCTATCAAGCTTTGGTAAAGCTTGGCTGGGGCGTGTCTTCAACAATATGGCTCGCGCGTGATTTGGAAGCGTAATTGATGGCCCCTTTTGATTCGCAGATTTTAGTATCTAACGCGCCTATAGACGTATAGAAGATCCAGAGAGCGTAGTGGCACTAAAAATAGCCAACAATAATGCCAGCTTCGCTAGTCATGAGCGTGAGGTTGAGGAGCACATCTCCACGGCTGATCCGTCACATCGGGGTCGTTCGCTTATGCGGACCTTACTGGGCTCTTTCGAGGTTAAGGGTCCAGAAGGTTCTCATTCGTGTCTTGTGTATCCTCCTATGAGGGAGACGTTATCGATGTATCAGCAGCGCTTTGACCATAGAAAGATACCGTTGCCCCTTGTCAAGACAAATATTCGTGCTCTTCTTACAGGGCTTGAATACCTCCACAAGGAATGCAGGACAGTCCATACAGGTAAGTCTATCTTCAATCTTGTTCTAAGTAGATGATGCTGAAGACTGGCAACTATCTAGACCTGAAGCTTGATAACATCATGCTCTCATTCGAAGACCCGACAGTGCTTGCTGAGTTTATGGAGACACAGCTTGAGAAACCAATGGCTTTCAAAGTTGATCCAACAGGACGACCAGTGTATCAGTCCCGTAATGACTTCGGACCGCTCAAAGGCCTACGGAGTATTCCACAGCTCGTTGACTTTGGGTTGGCAACTAATCTCGAGCAAGACGATGACTGGGGTGTCTGGCCTATTCAGCCAGACCGCTACCGGGCTCCAGAGGTAATACTAGGTATTGGATGGCAAATGTCTGCGGATATCTGGAACCTCGGGGTATTGGTACGTCTAGTTGCTCGCCAATGTTGTTGCATTCGCTGATATCAAGTTAGTTATGGGATTTGATCGAAGGCAAAGAGCTATTCCAGCACATTCGTGACAAACGAGGTCGCTACGATGCTAAACTACACTTAGCTGAGATGATAGCTCTTCTTGGTCCACCTCCCCCAGAGATAATGCAAAGGTACCAATACATGAGGGAATACTCATGGCCGGAGCCTGTCAGGCGAGGAGATGGCAGAGTATGCGTGGCCGCAGAGGAGTACTTTTGTGGACCGTTCTTTGACGACAATGGTAATTCTGAGTGAAATATCTCGCTTGAACGGCACCTAAACTGACTATAATATCTTAGGCCGCTTTCTCTACGAAGACCTGATCCCCGACCGGAAATTAGACGACACAGTCCACTTTCTTGAGGATAGGGAGAGGGAAGCATTTCTGGATCTTGCTAAGGGAATGCTTACCTGGCATCCATATAAGAGGAAAACAGCAGGCGAACTGGCTGAACATCCTTTCCTTCAGCAACAGCAACCGACTGCCTGAAGTATGCGAGTTTTCGGTCGCAGAAAATCTCGGAAGTGAGATCCTCCCAGTTCGACGGTAGCATCAGATAGCCAGTCCAAGCGTTAACGCAATACTCTTTTTATATCAAATTTACTATTGGTCTGCTTTCCATGGGAGAATAATGAAAAAGTGATTCGGTCAAGGAATTTCTTAGCGAGTGCAGAAACACCCTTAGCTAGAAGAATCACTGGTCACCAAATCCAGAGAATCTTACATGATTTCTAACAAGGAAAATTATCAAGTATTGAATGGCTTTACCATAAAGTTATAGCTACAGAGGGATTATATCCCTGATATCACTGATGGACTAGTCGAAATTCGACAGAACTTAAAAAGGACACAGGGACATAGTAGAGATCGTATTTGATAGTGTTTCAGGTCTACTGGAAAGCTCATTTACAGGTAAGATAGATCACTTAGTTTCTATTTCGTAGAATAGGAGGGTCAAGGCCTTGCTAGACTTCAGTAAGGTGTCACAGTGGATCTAGGTTCGCGCTCCAATGGCAGCCTAATATTGTGAACGTTAATTGGGCCAAGACAGACCTTGACGAAGCTCCAAGTTTTTCTTCAAAATGTAAGCCCCCGAACCAGGGTTATCTGCGTCATGTGTATCAATCCTGTATCGGTAAAGGTACCAGTGTAATATCGGTCCTGTATCTTTCAATCCCGATATCAAGTTCTTAGACGCACCATATGCCTTAACAGGCATACCTATAAAGTTCACGATGCATGTCAAACCTTAGTATCCACACTGGCCACCAAGGAGTGATTAATGACGCTCAATGATCTTCACGATCCAAAATCTGCAAAGCAATGTTACGTCCAGAGTGGCGACGGCAATAGTATTTTCACCACACATATGTTGCAATAGACGCTATAAAGGGGGTCTTTTAATCCGTCGATTTCTCGGACCGCGCGTTCACATATTGACATCAAGCAAGAAACTTCGAAATGGGCCTAGACTATCTCATGGTGTAAGTATACGAAATGACATATTATGCTAGCCATGCTTATTATCTAGACATTTGACATACAACATCCCACTCGCAGTGGTGATGACATTGGCTTACTGGCCTTTCTTTACGAAGTTGGATCTATACAGAATAGCCACCCTTACTACGGTATGCCCTCTCCATCCAATGTACAACACCTGCTGATACATCCAGATTGCGGTCATATCAACCATTCCCTGGGATTCATATCTTATCAGGACTCGGATCTGGACATATCCACCATACGCGATACTAGGACCGAGAATATGCTTGATCCCCATCGAGGAGGTTTTCTTCTTCGTCATTCAGACGTACAATACAAGCCTGTTGTACATTATTCTAACAAAGCGCTTTGTTATGCCTATGTATCTTGGACCCCAAGATGCACTGAAAAGAAATCTAGGAATTGTCATTATTGGCTCGAGTCAGTTTTTGGGACTGGCTAGTATATTTCATGGTGGACGGTATACCTACCTAGGACTCATTCTAGCTTGGATCTGCCCATTCATGATGATTCAATGGTAAGCATACACGATCGATGAATGGTGCACGCTAATTCTATTAGGCTGATGGCCTATCGATTAATTGTACGACTTCCACTTCGAGAGGTATCTCTGGCGATCTGTATACCTACTCTTTTTCTATGGGTTGTAGACACAATCGCCTTGGGAAAGGGGACATGGGTGATCGAATCCGCCACTAAGTTAGATATTCAACTCTGGGGGAGTCTGGACATCGAGTAGGTGCCTATGAGAGAGCAAGCATATCAGAGTTAATGTGTCTTAGGGAAGCGATATTCTTCGTTGTAACGAATATCATGATTGTGCTTGGTCAAATGGCCATTGACAATGCTATTGCATTGGGCATATACAACATGAGTACGACTTCAAAGACGGAATTTCCATCTTATGGACAGCTCTTCGCGCAGTTTATCACCAGACGGAATGAAGAGCTCAACATGAAGTATATACATGATCTAGGCGATGCAGTGATAAGACTCAAAAGGCGCAGCCAGAGTATGTACATGGGTGGTGCCATGTTTGAAGGTCAACTTCGCATTGACTTGATCTTTTTGTAAGTGCCTTGAGATGTTGTCGTGCCGCATACTAATGTGTATAGATATTCATTTTGTCGAGTGATAGATGATCTAGTGGATGAAGCACCAGACAGCAGTACGGCACGGTCTGTAATTCAAGAGTGTGCACTGCTTCTTGAGCAGAGGTTCGCAGGAAAGAACCTGGCGAAGGGCATACGCTCTGACCCAGCCCTGCTATCGTCCATCGAGCATCTTCCTGTTGAAAGGCTGTCGATCGAACCACTTCAAGGCCTGCTGAAAGGCTTCGAAACAGATCTTGAATTTAACACCAGCAATACCAAATCTCCAATTTTGACCGAATCAGATCTCGAGAGATATGCCTACCGTGTCGCAGGAACGGTTGCCGAGTCCGTCATCCACTTGGCCGTCGCCCACGGCCGCCCACAAAATCTTGATAAGCACACGCACCAGCAGACGATCACCGCAGGCGCACTCATGGGCCAAGCACTTCAATACGTCAACATCGCCCGAGACATTGAACGCGATGCAGAAATCGGGCGTGTGTATATACCCACAACCTGGCTAGAGGCGAAAGGGTTCACACCAGCCAAGGTTCTGGATTATCCCACTGATCCACAAGTACAGATCCTGAGGATGAGGCTGCTCGATCAAGCGGATGAGTGGTATAGACTGACAGAGGCGGCAATCGGGAGGCTTCCATTGGAAGCCCAAGGCCCCATCCGCGTCACGGTGGAGAGTTATATGGAAATTGGGAGATTATTGAGGCAGCTGAATGCGCCACGTACGAACGGGAAAATGAAAGTCCCGCTTTGGAGGCGACTGAAAGTGGCCTACGGTGCGTTGGCCGATGGTATGTAGGTTACTGTAAGGTTCATATTGCATCGATCTACATGCAAGGATTAGGAAATAAGTTTTATTAGGGGAAATGGGATAGACGAATCTAATGGGCCTGTTCACATCGCTGCTGCCACTTGAAAGATTATCTACAACTAAATTTTCGAAATTCCAGCTGGGGGTAACGGCGAGGCTTAGTTGGTATGGGCTAGATGGGAGATCAATACGAAGTAGTAGGAACTTATATACATGTAGCTGCGGTACTGTCTTACTACAATAAGAGTTTAGATATATCATTTGGAGAGAAGACGAATATTCCGTAGGGTATCAATTGTGGCATTTCTCTATAGGAGGCACATACCCAAGATAATTAGGAATAGCGGAAAAAGGACTACAGATATGATAGCCATGGATGCACCAAAGATCCCCCCCTTGGGCTTCCCACCACAATCCTCCGTGATCTGATCGCTTACCAGTTTACTCCCCGCAAGACACACTGGAACTCCCGTGCCAGGATGCGTGCTTGCCCCAACAAAATAAAGTCCCTTGATGGAAGAATGCTTACTCTTTGGACGGAAACTCAACACATTGAAGAATGAATGTGAAAGCCCTAGAATAGAGCCTCGATCGAGGTTAAACTTTTCCTTCCAGCTTGCCGGTGTCTCCACGTACTCGTGGAGTAGACTTTCTCGAAGTGCTCGAGCTCCAGTTCGTGTTTCGATTGTATCAAATACAATGTCCCTTGCTTTACTGACGAGCGTGTCCCAGTCTTGGGGCTCAGTGCTGTCCATCATATGGCCAGTAGGCACCAGTACAACCACCGCATCCTTACCATTCGGGGCAGCTGTAGGATCAATTCGACTTGGGACATTCACGTAGAAGGACGGTTCGTCTGGTAATCGGTGATGCTTAAAGATGGAGTCAAAGCTGTTTTTGTACTCCTCAGCAAGGAATATATTATGCACTTTTAACTCGCCGATCACACGGTCAAAAGACCAAAAGAATGAGATGCTGCTGCAAGATGCTTCGCGGTTGCTTAGACAGCGTGCTTCTTTGGATGCAGGGAGGAGATTGTTGTATGCATAGACCAGGTCTGCGTTGACCACCACAAGATCTGCCTCGAGTTTCTCACCAGATGAGAGAATAACGCCTCGTGCTGACTGGTCTTCCGAAATAATGATTGAGGATACAGGAGAATTGAGGCGATATTCGACTCCAAGGCGTTTGCCAATCTTCTCTATGCCCTCCAATATCTGGTTCATTAGCATGGCCTATGTTGACAAACTTAGATTCTACCAACCTTTTGAAACCCCCCAGCGGGATACCAAATCCCCCCTGCCAGTTCTGCATACTGTAGAAGAGAATAGGTCCCTGGTGCGTCGTAAGGACTCATACCTAGATACATACTTCCAAAAGTAAATATCCGTCTCATCTTGTCAGACGTGAAGTATCGACTGACACGACTATGAATACTTTGGAAGGGATGCATCGTAAACAGGGACTGCAGCAATCCAAGTCGCATCATACTTGATAAGCCGGGGAAATTTTGGCGCAAAACATGAATCATTGACAGATCGTAATGACGACCAGACTCTTCCATGAAGCCGAGAAAGCCACGAAAACTGTTTCCCCCCTCATGATGCTCTATTTGTGGCTTCAACCTTGTTATATCTGTTGTTAGATCGAAGTTGTCGTTGTCAGAAAACCAGACCCGGTAGTTTGGCTCGCATTTTAACAAAGAGATTCTTTCCGCTTCAAGGGAGGTTCCTAGGTCATGGAATGTCTCGTGGAACACCTCTGGCATCAATAAAAGAGAAGGACCTTGATCGAATCTCTGTCTATCGTTAGCAAGAAGATCCCCGGAATCAGGGGGTTGACGAGTAACAAACATAGCCGTTATGATGAATCAGAGAGCATCGGCCGCCAACCAAGTCGTTCTTCTCGACGACAGTGACATCGAAGCCTTGTTTTGCCAAACGAGCAGCAGTGGCTACGCCTCCAGCACCGGCTCCTATATACTGTTAGCCGGGTTCAGGTGAATTTAGATATACGTACCAACTACAATAACTTTGGGCATCATGAAATTTGTGGTCTGATTCTATTAGTGACCTTCACGAGTTAATAGTCAAGTATTTATGGCAACAATACCAACATCGAAAGATCATAGTTAAAGTATTACTGGCCCCCTCTCTAGTACACCAGAGAATGCCGTAGCCAAAACTATGTATCGGATCCCCCCTCGCGATAGGATCTACCGAAGCTCTGCAAGTTATCCCACTTGACCGATTTACCGGAAATTGATTCCAACTAATCGGGCCAGGAATACTCTGTAGACTATACTTACATATCGGTCTTACTGAGCACCTTGCTCTACGAGGCCCAGCATCTGACTCCGAAAAAGACTCCTGCATTCTTGCCGCTCCAGTAAACTAGGCTTTCCGCATTTTGTTTTCAGTGCATATTACACACTTGTATTATTAATATAATGTAAAATACGCCCCCAATATCAGTAACACATATGAAGAATTTGAAGTTCGTTTGAAAAGACCTACCTCAACGGATCTTCAAATTCAGCAAGGGCTGCAGTAAGAGAGTGAACTTCCATCAGACTGATCACTTTATGGCTTGCGGAAGGGGAGCCATCCAATCATCTCACCCTCTCCTCCACTACTAACCTGAAACTGTTGCATGGGCACGCAGCTGGAGGAACACAGCAGGCTAAGGCGCTTTCTTGTCTTGTCCGATCTACAAGCATGGCCATGTGTAACAATATATTCTTTTGTCCAAAGTTTATCTGTTACCCAAGGAGTTGTTCCACTCAGCACACCGCTGACTTAGACCAGCCTCTTTTGATCTCCTCGCTTAAAGGTGACGTTCAAATATCCAGACATAGCAATGACTCGCATTCTTTTACGATGCCCGGTTTCCTTCCAGAATTTATGGTATGACGTGTGGCGCAAGCAGTGTGTGTTGTAACATTCCAGATATTGCCATTTTTAAAGCAGGTTTTATATGTTTAGTCGCATATACCAGGATAGCCCAAAGATAGTGATGTTGATTGTGATGCTAGGTATTGGATACTCCAGGGCATAATTTGGCCTGTCAGCAGGATGTTCTTCAACCATGTCACTCACGACTCAAAAGACCCGCCTCATACAACCCTGTCGTCTGTCAGTATTAGCATGCTTTGTCCTATCTATTGGCTACTTTACTATGACTACTCAGCTCGGGTGGGTGTCTGTTGGGGTTGAATTTGTACATCACTGGTTGTTGTCTGGTGAACACAGTTTGTATGTAGCATGATGTAAATTGCATATGCACATAAATGCGCAAAGGTGTTCAATCGACCCAAGCGTCGTACGCCTTTTTGGCCTCTAGTTGTTGATTTGATTTGCACAGTAGCTATTTGCTATTAATTTCAATACGTCGACACCTTAGGTGCGTTAGAACGGGCGCTACACTGCTACTATGATTTTTCCACACTGGCATTGAGTAGACTTGTCCTCGATTGAGCTATACTGAGACTGTTGCATGATTGCAAGATATATTCATCAGCGCAATCTAACTTCGTTATAGATTATCCTCTCGCGTAATCAAGCGTCAGAATTATTAAAACCTAGCCTAATTCACTTGTCCACGAGTCAATAATGCCAATGCCCTACATTTGTTATCGTTACGAAGATATTATACAAAATAACATGTCTCAACAGCTTCAAACAAACAGTCTATTATGATGTGGGAATGTAGTAATAGTCAGATAGATAATTCATGTGCTGCATGTTGTGCACATTCAGGCAACATTTTAAGAACATTATCCCACATAGAATCCTGTAACCCTTCTTCCTTAGCCAATGTTGTCGCGGTCGATGGCCTGCATTAAAATGTTATCATGTCAGCCAATATTACTGATTAGCTTGGAGACATACGGCCTGAATTTTCCATCTGCGAAGAAGCAGCCATGCACCTCTACATCCATGCCCTCGATCGCCGTGAGATACTGCCATGCACCCTGATCAGGGGTGCGGCAAACTAGCCTCTCCAAATAATCTGCGATAGTCTTACCACTAAACGAACGGAAAAGTCCGCTGCGGCAAAATCCGGGTGTGGCGGACGCTATGAGGACACGTGTTGGATCTATTCTGCGTGCTAGCTCCTGCATCCATAGAATGACCAGTAACTTACTGATGTGGTATCTTGCATAACAGGGATATGTATCTGGCTGGTTGAGCATTTCCATCAAGGCGGTGAATGACTTTTGCTGAGGATTTGCCCAGGCATGTGCCTCGGATGAGATGATTAATAAACGACCTTGCGTTGGTTGTCGCAGTAACAGAGGCATGGCGAGCAGTGCTGTAGCACAGGTACTTAGAAAGTTGACCTATATTTCATGAAATCGAATGAGCGACTTTGATAGTATTGAAGTGGTAGATTGTCTTGAATATCGCTTATGAAGGATAATTCTCTCCTGCTTACCTGTAGTGTCTGTTCCCTACCTGTGTTTTCGCATCTGACAAAGTCGGTTTGGTAGATGCCTGCGTTCAGGATCACTAAGTCTAGAGATGGGTATTCTTGCAGGCGAGTATTGAAAGCCGTGATAGAATCTTCGGAACTCATTTCCAATTCCAAGACGTCCACTTTGGGTGTAATATGAAGAGGCTCTGTTTCTTTCATGATTTCTTCTCTCAGAACTTCGCCCTTTTCACTATTTCTTGCTGTCACGATTACATGGGCACCGGCACGAGCAAATGCTTTTGTGCACTCCAACCCACACCCACTGGTTCCGCCAGTGATTAGGACTCTCTTGTTGGCGTAATTCGAGAGGTCTTTCTCTAATACTGACCCGCATCTTGAAAACAAAAGACGATATAGAACAGCAAATGGGCCATACGGATCAAAAGTTAGTGTATAGGGATTTGAAAAGCTGAAATCCAGCATATGTAGCGAGGAAACTGGCATGGTCGATGGCCAAACAGGTCATACACTTGGTGTGCTGGAATCTTGATGATGGTGCCTGTGTTTGTGCTAGTGACGATGCCCCGGGGAATAAGTACGTTTCTGGCCCCTTTTTCATGTAAGTAAAGGGATGATTCAGTTTATCTACTCTGCAATCTGGAAGAGATGTGGATCAAAGCGAGATGGTTTCCAGGTTGTTCTATGATTGCTGATCACCGACCTTACTGCAAGTTATGGCTAGTATGACGTAGGCTAGTGACCATTGCTCCGTAGCACCTTGCATATGGTGTTCTGTACGTTGCCTACTGCGTCGCCTAACTATTTCAGCTAGTTGCCGCTGCAAGGTATCAATCCAAGACCCCTCACATTAGATGAAAACTCTATCGTGAAGGATGGGGCGTAAGTTCTTTCAAGGGTTGCTGTTCGTAGAAAATGATGTCTGTTGTGTAACATTGTCCATTACTGGGATAGTGGCCGTAGCATTTGTGATCACGATGTGAATGGGATTTATGATGAGAAAAAGGAAAGAGGAAGAGGCGAACAAGGAAGACAGTAGTCCATCGCCTTGGTATTAGTAACTTATAGTACTGCTTCATTCATGTAGAAGTTCACTGATGTCTAGACCATAGTCCAGTCGTTATGATATTGTCGATGGAAAGTGTCATACGTCTAATGGTAATGAGGTCGCGGGGTTGCATGCCGGGTTGGAGTACAGAAAGCGAGCGTCTTATTAAAATAGAGCTTTTGGCGATTAACATTGAAGTGGAGAAGGACGGCTTCATGTAGTCCACATGCTAGACGGTGTCGGCGATCGAAACAACCTTTATAATTGAAAATTATATACTTTTCCCCTCTTCTAAGTCCGTGCCCCAGCCGAATCATGTCCACGCGAGTCAGTTTGATCCATCTCCAGATCAAAGCTCAGATTCGTGAACCCTTCCTGTCTCCGCTGCACACTGCGAAGATTGCAAGTGCTTGACATCCTATCAAGCCTTCCGCCACTATCACTCCGCCATCCAAACGCATGGAACCTCAAAACTTGTCGGAACGACGGTACGCAAGCTGTGACGATGACTAGACTTGCCTCGACATTACTATTGAACCAACAACAATGTTAGCAACAATCAATCAAGCGTAAGAATGGAAGGGGGATAAAAGATCACATACATCCAAAGAGCCACCCCACCCAACAAATATGTCTGGTCTTGCTGCGTCAACATCGGCACCGTAGCCGCCAGTCGCAGTGTACTCGTAACTAGTGACCTGAACACAACCATAAGAAATTAGCCACAAACCCAGTCCAAACAAGTCCAAAGAGAAAGCTCAAACGTACAAACCTCCCAACCCAAACATAAGAATCAACCCAAACCTCTTCTTTGAGGTCATTTGCAACTTCAGAACAATAGGCAGCGGCATGACCAGCAATACCAAATCAATAAACATACTTGCCACCACGCCCGCCATGAAGATCGGGGCTTTACTCCAGCAGCGTCCGTCTATGTCAGGGTACCAAGACTTATGTACCGGCTCGCAAGTAAACAGAAATAAACATTCAAGGACAATCATGTAGGCGACGACGAAGGCGGTCATGCCCCATAGGGTTATGCGCCATTTTCGTTGCATATCGGAGAGCCGGTAGTAGAGAATAATAAGGGAGATTTTGGATAGACCGAGGGCGGGTATGTACATTATTGCGCCGAGGAGGAGGACCTAGTTGTTTTTGAGACGTTGTTAGGTGGTGGATGAGGGAGAAGGTTCGATCGGGGATGGGGTGTGTACTCGGACGGTTCGGTTGTATACGGTAGAGGTGAGGTCCCATTCGTGGACGCCTAGGCCGGCGTTGATGTACCCCCCTGTTGTATGGAAGTGTTTCAGTTAGGATTGAGCTGGGCTCGGTTAGAATGTAAGTGATGGTGCGTACATAGGAGTAGGGACTGAGTTAATACTGCGAAGATCTTTGGATTCATTATGATCAGTCATCGTATTGGTGTTGAGAGGGTGATTTACTAACCCATGATAATACAATGACGACTATATGAAATCTCCTGTAAGCAATTCATGTGACTGGAAATTCTCGAGGACATATTTGCATGCATCAATCATTAAAGTACATCGGGCAAACTCACCATCATCAAGCAGCCACTTCCGCACAATAACCACCCGCGTATATAGTCTCAACAGGAGACCTAACGTACTGATTGTTACACCTATAGTGACCACAACCAGATTCGCAGTATAATAGTGCTTCTCTGGACTGTCTAAATCAGGCGTTACACCCACAGGTGCAGGAATAACGCCCGTGCCAGTCCCTGTCGAGGCAGCGGTGCTGGTGGCGCTCATAGCAGCGGCACACAAACATTATCCAACAACGGAGAAGAGAAACAAAGTTTTTTTTTACTCTCCTCTCATATAGGTCCCAGGCACATAAAGCAGATTAAAAGGGCAGGGGTTAGGTACACATGTGAACTTTCCTGATCGGAAGGATTCCGTCCGTTCGCGTCCGAGAGTCGTCAGGACCGGTAGCTGGAAATAGGTTAGTTATTCAGCCCCTGCTCTAGCCTGATAATTCGTGATAATGGTATCCAATAAGAAGCGCAGTCTATTTGACTTAGTATGCAAGCGAACTGAGCGTCTTAAGCTGATCTGCAGGAGGGTTATGGCAGGCTTGACTCGGGAGACATGAGAAATTCATCTATTTGTGCTGGGCATGGAAGAACTTCGGCGGCCGAATCTAGATTGAACACTAAAGGTACAGAAGGATGAGAAACCTGGTTGGTTTTGTTGCTTAGTGTGAAGAAAGCGAAGGGACGAAGGATCTGGTTAGGTGGGTGAGGTTGGCCTAGTCTGATGTCTTAGCTTTTATTGGAACTATGAGGGGCGATCGCGGCCACATTCCGATACTCCTGATCAAAAGTACTGTGCACCCACTTTGCATAAATGACAGCTGAATAGTGGGGAGAACTGTTTATGCTTCTTGTTATGCTATCTGTAGGTTGAGTAACTGCCTAAACTCGAGACTGTATGATCACCATGCCAAACTTCCATCCGCACCCGCCTGTCCACAGTAATATGATAGTTCGTCTCCTCCGATGTGCTGACCCTCGGACTTGCAGTAGTACAAAAGGTCTTGGTCACTTAGTACTGTGCAATCCGGACATTGGTCCCATTGTTGGCTGCCTGTGTTGCGGTTCTTGTAAGAAGCGCAGGCCTTCTCCGTTGCTGCCTTATTGAAGACTTTCTGTACAAGTTTCCGTTCAATCAACAGAATTCCCATGGAAATTATGGAATGGGATAACTCACCACGTCCTTACCAGGCGAGTCATAGCAGAGGCCTGTGTAATGGAGGTCTGCTAGCGCACTGCACTATGTTAGTGGCTGAGTTGCATCTCGAAGAATGGAACCTGATGCCTACCCAGTAGCGAAGACTGTGACAAAAAGAGCTGCAAAATGCTTCATTGTGCTCGTGAACTCTGAGGAATGAGTGCGTGTCGTTGAATTCTGGTTCAGGGTAGTCCTTAATATCTTGTCGAAATTGACTGACTACAGCTCAGGAAAACCCGCAATATATGATGTCTCTAGCCAAGTCTTTCAGCATCTTCTAGAGCATCATTCCTCTCCGACTCTCCTACCACGTCGAAGGAACAGTAATTCCGAGTATCTTCCGCCATGATATCGCCACCGTCAAATTATTAATATACATCTCACCGACATGCCATCCTTCAAGCAAACCAAGACCAGCAACGAAGATCACAATAACCTGAAGAGAGACATCCTCAGACAAAATATAACTCAACCGCAACGTTCAAGCTATATCTATAATACTATCACATCCCAGAGCACATCACCTGAGCAGCGACTGACCGCAGATCCACATGCATGTCTCATCCTTTGCCAAGTAGTCGATCCGTGAGTTCTTCCTATCTCAACGGGCGGAACGCACATGGCACAACCCCCTGAGCTAAAGTAAATGGAGCAGCGGCAGACAGAATCATCTATTAAGGTTTTGGGGCGTGAAACGGGCGGACCCACTTGGAGCCTTGACTGGATAGATAGCGGCTCGATCCGTGGCTGAGATTGACAACCGGTTGTCTTGGTTAGGGCTACGGGCAAGAAGCGGATCGTGTAAGTTACTCGATTCGGTAGATATTGGCTGCATAACTAGTCTTGTGCGACTTGTGATTGTCGATCTTGTGTTTCTTCGGGAGTTCCTCGGGGACTCTGGGGGATCTGCGTAAAGGTTTCGGGCATCGTTGATCGATGTTGTATGTCGTGATCTTGGCGATATCTATACTTCTTGGCGGAGCTGGATGATGTAGTAGGAGTAGTTGTGTAGAGAGGTGATAATAGGCACTTTTAAGATGCCTGGGCATATATAATATATAAGTCCATACTATTCTCAATAGAAGATACGAGACAGACTCAGCAAGTTCGGGCGTTTAACCATCAGAAGAAGAACCCGATCAAGCAACCGGAACCATGAAGCTCCCGCTCCTCGTAACCCTCGTCTCCGCAACCCTTTCCTACGCCGTACCAATCGCCAATACAACCACCATCTGCGGCCCCGACGAAGCAATCATCCTCCTAAGCAACAACACCACTAAGACCATCAAGAAAGCCGACCTCAAGTCCCAGATCCCAAACCTCACCTATCTGCCATCCACCAACAATGACAGCACACCACCCCTCCTTATCACCAGCGCCTCTAACTCCAGGAACAAGACCACCACTAAGCGCGGAAGCTCCACAAACCTGATAATTCCTCTGGAACCACAGAGTTTCCTCGGCTGGGACATCGCCATGTCGACTATCACGCACGCCAACCAGGCCCCCGTCACCCTCGCCATCCAATCCGGCCAATCCATCGCAAACAGCATTACGACCGGCGCCTCGGCCGACTTCACTCTCATCGAAGACTTCCTCTCTCTCACAACGAGTATCAGCTACCAGCAGACCACGACGAGCACGATCACGGGCACCGTGACAATGACGATCCCCAAGGGCAG